TTCAACGGCCGCCCTCTCGACCATCGAGAGCATCCACAATACCTCCGTCAACCCGATCGAGACAATTTTTCTTCCTTTTTGTTCAATGCACCCGGAGCGGGAACCTGATGTCTGGTTGCCCGGGAGGAGGGGGGGGGGCCGCATCTATTCAAGGGATTGTGGTCGGATCGGGGCGTCATCGAGATCTTGACCCCTCCCGCCCCCTCCTTCGGGCCTCGGCGCCACGCCCTATGGCTGAAGCTGCTTCGGCCCGGCAGGCACCACATCCAAAGGCAGGCCCTCCCCAACCACCCGCCGGCGAGCCCTGTGTCTGCCTCGCACCCCTCGCAGAGTGGTATGGAGCAGGCAGCTGACCATGGGTCGCGGTCCATGCTGATAAGGGAGGCGCTCGCTCGGGCCACCAGGGCCCTGCTCACCTTCGGGCCCGATTGCACCGTGCCACACCTGCCGAGCCCTCCCCAACACAGCCCACTCATCTTGGAACCTGCCTGCAGGCCACCGTGCAGGGTCCGCCTCTGCAAACCATGCTCCAGATGCGAAAACACATCCAGGACGCCCGGAGGGGAGACGAGGCCGCCAGTGAGGCCAATGGTCACCCTCCCACCATGGGCTGCCACAGCCTGAAGTGCACGTCAGCCAGGCAACAGCCCCCCAAGGACGCGTGCCAGCCACACTTCCCCGGGCACGAGCTCTACCCCCGCTCTGGCTGCCAGCCCAGCCGAACACTCCAACGCGCAAGGTCGACCGGGCGGGAGGGAACTCGCGGATGTCCCAGCCTGAAGTGCACGTCAGCCAGGCAACAGCCCCCCAAGGACGCGTGCCAGCCACACTTCCCCGGGCACGAGCTCTACCCCCGCTCTGGCTGCCAGCCCAGCCGAACACTCCAACGCGCAAGGTCGACCGGGCGGGAGGGAACTCGCGGATGTCCCTCACAGGCTTAAATCCCGTCTGAGGAGAAAGCAGAAGGCCCAATTGGTTGAGGGCAAGAGGGCCGGATGGCAAGCGGATCTCCAAGGCGTAAGTGGCCACAAAGCCAGGCCCCATGATTGCCTCTCGCCCAGGGAGATGACGGCGACACATGTGCCAGGAGTGGAGTGTGGAGGTGCCTGCCGGGAGAGCGGCTTCTTGGAGTAGGGGCCACCTGGGAAACGGCCACCGAGCACCCGGGCAAGGTCCATAGGCAGATCGGAAGAGCGTCGTGCCGGATGGCAAGCGGATCTCCAAGGCGTAAGTGGCCACAAAGCCAGGCCCCATGATTGCCTCTCGCCCAGGGAGATGACGGCGACACATGTGCCAGGAGTGGAGTGTGGAGGTGCCTGCCGGGAGAGCGGCTTCTTGGAGTAGGGGCCACCTGGGAAACGGCCACCGAGCACCCGGGCAAGGTCCATAGGCAGCGAGCACAATAGTTGGAAGGGCGGCCTGCCAAGATAGAGGAAGGGGGCCCACATGGATGTCGGGAGGATGGACCACGGTGCGGTGGCCAATCCCCCTTCCTGGAAAGGAACACGTCAAAGTGAAATGAGAGCGCGCAGGAGGGTACGTTTCGCGGTGTGTAGGGGAGATGTCGCAGTGCTCAAGCAACTCGCCCGATCCAGGGCCACGGTCACCCATGTTGGCGGACGAGGGCTGTCCCCTCCGGTGGCCATTCGTGTCCTGCCAGCCACGAACTCCCGGATAGGGAGGGGAACGTGCCAAGCAAGATGAGAAGGGGCAGCCAGACGCCCAAGGGAAAGTGCACCAATGGCTAGTGTTGCCTCCTGATCCGGCGGCGGTGAGTGTCTCTTCGTAGGGGAAAACCGGCCTCAGCCCCAGTGTCACTCGGAAGGGGGTTCCAACATGAATGGACATCAGGTGAGGGTGGGTCTGGTCGGCCAAATGCCCAGTCGCGGAAAGAGTGCCATCCCGGTCGATGCCCGTCGGCGTGGCCAACACTCGGAGGAGGAGAAGGAGGCTGGATGGCCGAGTTGACCACGGCCCAGGTTCGGTCCCTGCATGCGCAATCCACCCGGCTGTCCTGGGACTCGCAGGAGGAAAGTAACACAATCTCGATCCGGGCGCAGGTTCAACGAAAGACGAAGGCCCGGCCAATCTAAAGCGAGCGACAAAAGGCACCCAGGAGACTGGGGGCCCGAAGGAGTCGATCACCTTCCGAAGACTTCATTCAGTAGAATAGGGACTCTCCGGGGAGGGCACCGCCGCGTGCTAAAGAGGCGATCCAGACAACAACCCCGCCGGGGGTCGCGAGATGCTGAGGGGTGGAGAGAGACGAAGAAAGCACTGAGAAAAGACATAAGGAGGAGGAGGGAAGGGGGAGGAAAGGGTGAGGGCGATGGGACCGTTCGGTGCACTAGGCTGCGACTTATGTTGCGGAAGGAGGACGACACCTCTGACTGGCCATTCTTCGATCCTGCACAATGCACCAAGCCAGCCCGCGTGTGCCCCGAGGGTGTGTCTCCGACGGGACGGAACAACCGGGCACCAGGGGGACAAGGGAAGTTTCTACATACTTTTTGGTAATAATATAATCAAACATTGTCATAATGAGTTATTCATAAAATTGGTGATTGTTCTCTTTTTAAGTACTAAAACGAGAAGGTTTGTTGTCATAATATTGTTTATATTTGTGCTCACGCTTGTAATAGAAATTGTATGTCTACATGTTTTTTCGTATTTATTCCTAGTCCTACAATTAAACAGCCGCCCATTCCTCGTCCTTCTCTTGCAGGCGCCGTCCGGATCAAGGGAGCACCCAGGGAATGTATCAAACGTTGGCATATAGTTACCATCCCGCCCCGGTCCGTTCCGCGTCGCCTCCTTACTTCGGGGACCTGAGCCCGCTTGTGCCCCATCGGTCTCGAGTCAAACAAAGGGCGACTTCCTTTGAACACAGGCCCTCGGGCGCGCAGGGCATCGGCAGTCGGGGCCCGTCCGGTGGCACTCGATGGGCCTCGTTTTGGCCGGCGTTTGCCCCGACCCCTTTGTGTCCTATCTGCCAGGCGGTGGAGATACGCCGGGCTGGCTCAGACAGCCAATCGGCGCCGATGCCAGGGGCCGATGCCTTCCTCGGCTTTATGACACCCCATTCCATCTGCTCGCGCTCAGGCCCAGAGCCGACGCCTGTTTGATGTGACCGGCTCTCCGCACGCGCGCTGGGACCTCCGTGCCGGGGCGGTGGCCTTGCTTTCCACATTGGGTAAGCGGTCATCCTCGACGAAGAGACCCTGGAATGCCACCAGCCGGGTTGTCCTTCATTTCCGCGGTCCCCCATTCCCTGGGGGTCCTTCCGGCTCCGGGCCCTTCCGAAGGTGGCAATTGGACAGATCGTGGAGGGTCCCCCTTGGGTTGGGGGCAGGGAACCGGGCGTTCCCGCTCTCCGAGTTCCCCGCTGTCCTCCCGAGTACACTCTCCGGTGACGCGGGTCCAAGCGTGTGTGTGTGTGTGTGTGTCGGGAGGCTGCTCGGGACCGGGCTCATTCGCCCCGGGCTTCCTTTTTTGGGCGCCCCGCCCGCTTGCCACGCCGCCTGGGCTTGGTACCCCACTTCTTTCCCTCCTTTTCCCCGCCCTCCTTCCAGCGTTTCTGCCTCTCCCTCCTCGGTTCCTGTTCCCCCCTCTCTTCCTGTCTCCGATCCCTCCCTCCTCCCTCCTTCTCAGGTAAGGACGCGCCCTCATGTCTTCCTCCCTGTTTTCCCCTCGTGCTCTCCACTGGTCAAGCATGCCCCTAACCAGCCTGCATCTTTGCGCTCCCCCTTCTCAAGGCAACCATGTTCGGTCTTTTTTCCTCCGGTCGCAGCAACGCTGCAATGGAGAGTGCGTTTGGCCGCTTTCTATCCTGACTTTTCCCCTCCCACCCTCTCTACGGCCATTCTGACTCAATCTCTCTCTCCCCCTCCCCAGACCACCTTTTCAACCTGCGCGTTCGTTCCCCCCATTCCTCTACTCTCTTCCTCCCTTCCTCCCTTCCTGTCCCTCCCCGCCCCCCTGCCCCGCACACACCGTCTTTCCGACACTCACCCTCTTCTGTCCCCCCCTCCCCCCCTCTGGCACACTTCCCTGTCTCGACATGCAGTACACGGCGAAGCAGATGAACCGCCTTAGTGCCAAGTGCACCAAGGAGGAAGCCCAAGAGAAGGCCAAGCTCAAGAAGGTTTGTTTCCCACC